TTTGTGTTTTGATTATTATGTGGCAAGGGAACTTTTCTTTTTTAGGGGGGGAGGGGGGTCCAGTCTATCTGGTGTCCTGTAGGCTTCTTGCATCTTCATAAGTGTTTCTTTCTTCAGGTTGGGAAACTTTTCTTCTGTGATTTTGTTGAATATATTTTCGTGCCTTTGAGTTGGACTACTTCTTCTGTTCCTATTATTCTTAGGGGTTTGGTCTTTTCATGGTGTCCCACATTTCCTGGATAAGAGTTTGTTGGGTTTAATATTTTCTTTGACTTATGATTCTATTTCCTCTATTGTATCTTCAAAGCCTGAAATTCTCTCTTCTGTCTTTTACATTCTGTTGTTTATGCTTGCATTTGTGGTTCCTGATCATTTACTCAGATTTTCCATTTCCAGAATTCCTTTGTTTTGCGTTTTCTTTATTGCCTCTATTTCACTTTTCAAGTCTTTGGCTTATTTGATTCTTTTTTTTTTTTTCCCCCTTGGTTTTCTTTAAGGGGATTTATTGTTTTCTTCCTTTTTTTTTTTTGTCTTTTCCTCCATTTCCTTAAAGGAATTTTTTGTTTTTTCCTTAAGGGTCTCAAACATCTTATTAATGTTATTTTTAGTGTCATTTCCTTCTGCTTCATCTGTGTTGGGGTGTTCAGGCATGCTGTTTTAGCACCACTAGTTTCTGGTCGTGCTGTCTTGCTCTTTTTGTTGTTGAGTGTACTCTTACCTTGTCTGCCCATCTCTTCCTCCAGTTGGTAAATGTGAAGCCTGCGCTTCAGGGGTCCTTCTTCCTGCTGTTGGTGTAGTTGGGGGCTGTGGCTCTGGTGAATTGCTCCTCCACGTGGAGGCGGGATCATGGTTCTGTTAATCACTCCTCTAGGTAAATGTGGGGCTGAGGTTCTGGAGCTATGCAGCAGCAGGCAATCTGTTGCTGAGAAACGCCAGTGAATGCTGACTGGGACACAGGTACTTTCTCAGAGGAACTTGTTAAGATGCTTTTGGAAGCCACTGCTGGAAGCTGCTGCAGTTGTCACTCCTGCCGGTTGCTCACCGGGGTGACTCAGGCCTCTCTCTGACCCTCCCTTTGGCTCTGGCCTCTCTCAAGTTTTTTGTTTTTTTGTTTTTGTTTTTTTTTTTTGTGCCTAATGCTAAACGTGAGGCTGCTGTCCGGGTAACCCATCAATGACTAGCTCTGAACAGAAAAATCCAAAAATCAGCCGTTGATCTGTCTACAATGCTGGATGCCTTGACTGGTCTTCAGTATATGCTGTAATTTCCAAAAAAGTAGGCTTCAATGCCAGTGAAGAGATGGATGTGCTACCAAGGGAATGGGCACACAAGCAGGCAAGAGGCCAGCCCTCAGCTCTGTTTGTCAGTGCTGTCACGAGAGACACAGATGACACTAAGACGGACCTGTGCCCACGACTAAGGCTAAGGAAGAAAACACCAAAACTTCCAGTTCCTTCCTCTGCCTCTCTCTTAAATGTTATCCAGAATTGGTGGTAAGGACCGTTGGCTTTTTGTGACACGTGGGAGAACATATCATCTGCCCACTTTGTTTTGTGTAATTGAGTTTGACTTATTTCTGTACTCTGCAAAAGCTACGATTTTTTCTTTGCTTTTTTTTGCAGAATCATTTTAACATGAGAACACATTTAACTGAACCACTTAAGTTTTATTCTCATGTGAGATTAAGTATCAATTTTCTTATTAAAATAATTGGATATGAGGGAAATTTTTTAATGAAAATACTTGAAACATTCTTTCTATCCTAAATTCTAGAAAAAGAAAACAATGTCTTGGTTCCTATATTCATGGGTAATAACTATTGATTAAAAGGGAGGAGTTAGTTCAGTGGTCAAGTACTTAAGGCCCTGAGCTCCACATTTAGCTCCGTGGAAAAAAGGGAAGAGCTGACCTAGTTGTGTTGGTTGCATAGCACTCAGAAGGGGTGGGGTGGGTTTTTTTGTTGTTGTTGTTTTGGTTTTTTTGGTATGGTTTGTGGGTTGGTTTTGTTGTTGATTAAGCAGGGTTTTTCCTTGTGTCCCTGACTGTCCTGGAACTTATTCTGTAAGCCAGGCTGGTCTTAAACTGGGAGATCCTCCTGCCTCTGCTGGGATTAAAGGTGTGTACCACCACCTGCAGGTCAGAAGAGGTGATGTAATTATGCTGTAGGATTTGAGCTCAGTACTGAGTGCCCAGAGCCTGTCATCATAGCTCCTTGTTTCTTTTTTGTTTGTTGGTGGTTTGGTTTTTCAAGACAGGGTTTCTCTGTGTAGCTTTGTAGACCAGGTTGGCCTTGAACTCACAGAGATCCGCCTGCCTCTGCCTCCCAAGTGCTGGGATCAAAGGAGTTTATCACCACTGCCCGGCTTCATTGTTTCTTTAATTCCTACTTGATAGTGCTAGAATCTTGGATTGAAATGCAAAACGTGCATATGCATGGGTGAATTCACAGGCACACACATAGTCAAAATAAAAGAAAAAAAGCATGGTGTGCACCTGTAGTCCCAGCACTTAGATGGACCAGGAATTCATAGAAATCTTCAACTACATGGTGAGTTAAGGGAATGCTGGGCTTCATGAGGCTCTTTCTCAGGAGAAAGTAACAAAAACAAAAACAAAAAACAAGCTGTCCAACACAGATATTGTACATTAATGGGAATGAGTTAAGAATAAAAAACTAAATGACGGCTTTTTTCTTCTTTTGCAAAGAAGAAGCGCTATGTAAACAAGCAATCAATAAGAGGAATCGGAGTAGAATCCGCCAGTTGGACACAAGTGTGGAGAGAAGAGCCCTTGGGGAGATTCAAAATGTGGGAGAAGGCTCTACAGCTTCACAGGGCACCTGGCAGTCTTCTGAGTCCTCACAGTCAAACCTTGGGGAGCAGGCACAGAGCGGACCCCAGGGAGGAAGGTCCCAACGTCGGGAGAGGCATAACCGGATGGAAAGAGACAGAAGGTAATATAGTGATGGACCATGGGCTCCATCCATACAGTTGTCTTAGATGTGCTGGCCTTTTTCTGTGATAGTTCACCCTCTGTCTGGAGGCTTAGGAGTCCTGGAGACTCCATGATCTCTGGTGGACTGGTGCTCTGGCTACAGTGCCAGGATACAAAGCAAAATGACCCAAGGTATGTGGGAAGAACTAGCAAGCACATTCCCAGAATTCTTCTCCTGGAAGGTTACATAAGACCAGTGTGCTCCAGAGGCACCAACGAGGTGCCACCAAACAGGAGGGTTCATCGTCACATGACAGTCCCTATCAGGCACACTGTAAATACCAGGCTCCCAGTGTGAGCCATGTTGCTTACAGATCAAGTTCCTAGACACTGGGAGAAGGCCAGCCTTGTCAACAGGTCTTTAAGGAGAGTATTGGGCCTTTAAGCTAACTGCACAGTAGGTAACATTGTAGCTTTATGTTTTGTTTGGGGAAGCCAGGTGTAGTGATTACAGTATTCAAGAGGCTGAGAAAGGAGGATTGGTTCCAGTTTGAGGACAGTCTGGGATATATAGTGAATTATAGGTCAGTCTTGAATAGCAAGACTCTGCATCCAAAAAAGGAAGGAAGATAGGAAGGGAAGGAAGGAAGGAAGAAAGGAAGGAAGAAAAAGAATGTTGGGAAAGAAGAGGTTAAAACTGTTATTGACGTGAGTTATATAATAGTGAGTTTACCTTCGGATGTTATATGTGCTCTTCTAGGTAGTATGAAAGGTTGTTCATGTTTCTCTATTGAAGTTGTGTTTTTATTGCAATCAATTTGGTATTTTGTATACGTTTTTAGCTCAGGAATAATAGTATTTAATGAGATAGTATTGTGTATTGAAGTTCCATTATTGAATGAGCCAAGGTGATATGTTGCTTTTTAGAGGGATATGTTAAAACTAAGTAAATGCCTTTCTTCTTTCTTTCTTCTTCCTTTTGTTCTTTGTTTTTGTTTTTAGACCAGTCTGGCCTCGAACTCACAGATATCTCCCTGCCTCTGCCAGTTTTTTTTTGTGTTTATGGTATTTTACCTGCATGTATATCTGTACACTACTTGTGTGCCTGTGGAGGCTAGAGGAGGGTATTGGATTCTGAGTCTAGAGTTGTGAGCCACCATGTACGTGCTGGGAATTGAACCTGTGTCCTCTGGAAAAGCAGTTAGCCACTGAGCCTTCTCTTCAGCTGCGTTATTCTTTATGTGTATGAGTGTTTTGTTTACGTGTATGTATGTGCCTGGTGACTGTTATGACGGTCAGATCATCTCTGGAACTGGAGTTACAGATGGGTGGGAGCCACTATGTGGGTGCTGGTGATCAGTTAGGTCTGCCAAGAGCAAAACATGCTCTTAACTGCTGAGCCATCCCTCCAGCCCCATTGCATTCTATTTTTTTTGAGGCAGGGTTTCCTTCTGTAGCTCAGGCATTTTTCTTATTATTCCTGTACAAAGGTCAGGAACAAAGTACCTGAGGGACTTCCTTTAGTCTACTGTGAATTGTAAATCAAGTACTGCTCACCCTGATGTGTGTTTAATGATCACATATGGGATCGCTGCTCTGTGGAATTCTTGAGACCAACTAGTTTAATGACTTCTGATGAGTTCTGTGCTTCTTGAGTTTCTCATCTATAAGATAGAGTTGTTACCTGCCACACAGACTTGAGGTCAGAACTACTTGAGCTGATAGAGAAAGGGTTTGGACCCTTGGCTAGAAATTAGAGTGCATCTAGTAAGTGCCAGCTACCGTTTGACTGTAGGTGTGTGGGTGTGAAGATGTGTAGAGTGGACTACATGTACCATGTAACCGTACACTGTCAGCACAGGGCCTTGTTTGTTTATTATTGGATATGATATGTCAGGTTTAAAGCAGACTAATTCTCTCAAGATTTTTCTTCAGTGCTGGTGATGGAAGGGCCCCAGGGAATAGGCAGGCATTCTCCTGAGCTTTTCCCCAGCCCTAAATGCTCTAAAAGCAGACACCTTTATTTTTATGAGACAGGGTCTCACTGTATCGCCAGGCTCACCTTGCATTCATGACTGTGGTGCCTCAGCCTCTGAAGTACTTTATTAGAGACATGCAGCATGAGGCCCCACTCCGTCTGAAAGCCATGCCTGTGCCTGAGCGCATGTCTCTGAGCATGGGAAGCAAGTCATGCTTCTTGAATAACTGTGTGGGGGCTGGTTTTGGAGCTCAGTGTCTAGCACTGCAAGAAAAGAAAGAGAAAACAATGGGAAAAAAGCACTTGGCCCAGGAATTTTGTTCTTGAGTTCAGAGATTTGCAGTTATCCCTAGTATAGAGAGCTGGCCCATGAGAAGTAAACAGAGAAAGTGTAGGGAGCTGCAGGCTACTGGGCCATTACAGGTGATGTGGCAGCAATGGCCTCTTTGGACAGCTGCTTAGTGTACACTAGCTTCCAGGTGGGACGTGCCTCCTACCTTCAGAGGTCAGTTCCATGCATTCTGCTTTCTTTGAATGAACAATGAACTCTGCTGCTCCTGCGCTTCACCAGCTGTCCTGTGTGATTACTGTGGATTTTGACTGCAGGCGCAGAATCCGTATTTGCTGTGATGAGCTGAATCTTTTAGTTCCGTTCTGCAATGCAGAGACAGATAAAGCAACAACCCTTCAGTGGACCACAGCATTCCTGAAGTACATTCAGGAAAGACATGGGGATTCTCTTAAAAAGGTGAGTATCATGAAGTGGACCTCAGTGTTCCTGAACTGCGCTCAGAGAAGATGGGGTTTCTTGATGTGAAAAGGTGGGCAGAAACCTGAGAATTTTCTGTTGTAGTTGTCAGTGTTGCTTTTTATCCTTTCTTCTGGACTCTGAGGCTGAATATGAAGTTCAGTATGAAGGGAGTTCTGCCTGTTGATGTCACTTACTAAAGTTATAGTCACAGCCCAGATTTGCTTATGAAATATAGATGACTGTCAAGTGTCAATTGTTAGATACCAAATTGAGTACTTGTGCATAGTATATCGTGTTGGGTCTGCATGGCATTCAGAACATGATTTTTTCCTCTCAGAACCTGGTAAGGACAGCAGACATAGTTTAGTGGTAGATTACTTGCCTAATGTTTGTGAAGCCCTGGGGAGGGGAAAAAAATGAAAGCTTTGAAAGAAATGAGAGTAAGAATAGCAATGGGGGGTATGAAAAGTAGATAAAATCAGTAGTCTGACTTCTGGCTTCAGGTGGGTTCAGAAGACAAATTATTAGATTTCTGTGGTGTGTGTAGCCAGTATAGGCTGAGCCATTGATGGTCACACACTTCTTGTTCTTTGTGGGCGCTGCACTCTGTTCCTTTCTTTCCACATATGGGTTGTGATAGCTAGCCAGCCCTCTTGGTTCTGCAAGGACTGATGATTGCTTTGGGAGTTGGCTTCGCCCTGAGATGGGCTGGTAGAAGAAAGGGAGCAATTGTGGGCTTGTTCTGTGCTGTGCTTGGGTGACCCCTTTGTTAAGTTTTGGCCTCAGAATTCTGGTGGTCACAGCTTATGGCCTTTGTCCTTCAGGGAAGTAAGGGACATCCTGGTGTATTAGGGTTCTCTATAGGACAGAACTGATAGAATGAAAGAGATTTATCTGAATGGCTTACAGGCTGTCTTAGTTAGAGTTTTATTGCTGTGAAAGGACACCATGACCACAGAACTCTTACAAGGAAGACATTTAATTGAGGGGTCACTTACAGTTTCAGAGGTTCAGTCCATCATCACCATGGCAGCCTGCAAGCAGACACGGTGCTGCAGGAGTAGCTGAGAGTCCTTATCTTGCAGGCAGCAGGATGTCAACTGACTGTTTACATTGAAGGAAGATTGAGCAAGAGAGACCACAAAGCCCACCCCATAGTGACACACTTCCTCCAACAAGGCCACACCTCCTAATAGTGCCACTCCCTTTAGGGGCCATTTTCTTTCCAACCACCACACAGTCTATGGTCCAGCTAATACAACCATGGCTGCTTACCAATGGAAGGTCCAAGAATCCAGCACATACTGGAATCCTGAAGAAGTAGGCTCTAATGCTAGGGAAGAATGGGATTGCCAGCAAGAGCAAGCAGGCAAAGAGAACACACTTCTTTTTCATTTGTTTGTTTATTTATTGGTTTTCTGTTTATGGTGCTTAATTTTCTTTTCTTTCTTTCTTTCTTTTCTTTTCTTTTCTTTTTTTTTTTTTGGAGCCTGTCCTGGAACTTGCTCTGTAGACCAGGCTGGCCTCGAACTCACAGAGCTGGGATTAAAGGCATGTGCCACCACTGCCCGGCGTCATGCTTAATTTTCAGATGAAAATAATAACCAAGCCATAATTGTGCCTAACTGTTCCTCATACAACCACAAGTGCATTATAAATAGAACAGGGTGGTGCCCCTTGAGGGACATTCTTTTAGTATCTCAAACTTAAATATCATAACCACTGATAGTCTCTTAATTGTTGTTACATTATATGATAAAGAAACCAAGGAAAGAAAACACAAGTATCTATACAAACATTCTTTTTTCAAAAGATTTATTATATATATATACAGTATTCTGCCAGCATGTATGCATGCAGGCCAGAAGAGGGCACCAGATCTCATTACAGATGGTTGTAAGCCACCATGTGGTTGCTGGGAATTGAACTCAGGACCCCTGGAAGAGCAGCCAGTGCTCTTAACCTCTGAGCCATCTCTCTAGCCCACAAACACATTTGTAACAAAATGTGACAGAAACACTGTTAAACTATAATCCTCATTTCTGCAACTGGTCACATGGCCTCAGCTGGTATTATAGCTAGCTTCTCTGTGTTTCTCCCTTGTAAAAGGCTGTAAGTCCCTCTGGTGGAGGACTGAAGAAAGGCTAACAGTCAAACTCTTCAGTAATTTATCAAGGTCCTCCCTCAGGGATCTGGCCATTCCTTCATTCAAGGGGTTCTGGGTCTGCAAACTGGCTCATGTCTGAAAATTGGTTCATGGGCCGAGATTCCCTTTGCCACAATCCATTATAGCCTTTTTTTTGTTCTCATTTGTTTGAGAATTTTTCTGCTTATACAGATCAAACAAAAATGCAGTAGACTTCTTACCTAATTCATTCCTGGAAACACCATGATTGGCTAGCCAGTAAGATCTATACTAATCATGACAACATAAAATTCACTTTGTTCTGACCATTACAAGTCAGGCCACTATGGAAATTGCTTTGTCTATGCTGCCCATATGATAACTGCGATCATCTTGCCTTTGGTGATTCAGAGCTGCCATTGGGCCCCTGATACTTCGGGCCTTAAACCTATTGCATTTAATTAATCCAAGTGAGTAGCAGCAATTCCAGCCCTAAGGTGTTGTTGCACAAGGAAAAGTGTGAAAACAAAGCTCTTCAAATGTGCTGGTGTTTTTACAGGGTTAGTGAAGGGTGTGTCTTCTAGGCCTTCCCATTGTGGACCTTAGGTTTAATACAGTGTATCCATTTGAGCATTGCAGTTTCCCTGGGTGTTAATAACCCTTCATCAACAAAAAAAAACCAAGGGATAGCAGGCATTTCCAACTCCTTTTCATGGGCCATCTTTTGACAGATGCTTAAACCAACCATTCAAACAAAACTGACACCTTTTTTTTTTTAACTGTGTGAGCTTCCATATTAAACCTAGAGTCTTCAATCAGAGGGCCCAGGTCAATCATCTCAGCCTGGTCAGTTTTGTGTTCTTCCACCATTATCCCACAGCCTTAAAGTCCATTCTTACACACATTCTCCATGTTTGAATGAGTTTAAGCTCTTCAGTATTGTAGCACACCTTCTCATGAACTGTGCATTCTGTCTCCTAGGGGCCTGCTGAGCCCTCCGTCAGGGTATGGGTCGAGAGGCATCTATTGACAGGCTCTGAGGGACATCAGTATTATTTTGCCTGGCATTTCCTTCAGTGAAAGTCACTGCTGCTTTAGCAGATGACGAAGGATTAATTTCCTTAGTCAAAGGTGGGAAAGGCAGTATTTAGGGGCTGGGGGTGTGAGTTCATCTTCTGCAGAGGGTGGAGAAACTACTTCCTCAAATGAGATAAACCCATGAGAATCTGAGGGTTCAATAGAGTCCTCCCACACATCCCCATACCAAGTTGCAGGATTCCATTCTTTACCACCTAATGCCCTTACTTTAATCACTGATACTCTCTGGGGCTGGGACTTGAATTTTCTCTGTAATTCAGCCAATCTTAAGGGCTTCAGTTTGTTTTTCAACATTTGAGCTCTGTGGCTGCTGGAGAGAAGACTTTCCTCTAGGCCACATTTAGAAACCTTTAGACTGTTTATGGGCTCGTGGAGCCAGTTAATCTTATCACTGAGTTCGTTGTTGTTCTTCACTGTATTCTGAGGTGCTACAAGTTGGTTAATTTTATCATGAAGCTCACTCTTTTCCTTTGTCAGTTTATCCAGAGATGATAGGAGCAACCATCCAGCATCATCATTTCCTTTTCCTCAAATTGTCAAAGGTTTATGTAGTCACCAAATCCAATGTCTCTCAGAGTTGGTGAGTCAGGGTAATCTTTAAGTTTGTAAAATAGCTCACACTATGGGTTTTCTAGTACTCTCTGAGCTTCCAGGAGAGGCTTCAGTAACTGTAGGTGTTGGCAAATTGGAAAGCCTATTTCAGATACTTAAAAATTCATCCCCAAACTTCTGTTGCTCTAGAACCACTTCTGGTACCAAAATCTGTATTAGTCAGGGTTTTCTAGAGGACCAGAAACTGATATAGAATGAGTCTACATATATATTATATTCTATAGATAGGTAGATAATGTGTATATATAAAGAGGATTTATTAGAATGGCTTACAGTCTGAGGTCCAGCTAGTCCAACAAGAATCCAGTAGTTGTTTAGCCCATGAGGTCTCAGCTGGTCTTCAGTACACACTGGAATCCTGAAGAAAAAGACTCTAAATGCCAGTGAAGGGATGGACTTGCCCACAAGAGTGGGAACAAGCAGGCGAAGAGAACAAGCTTCCTTCTCCTTTAAATAGGCTGCCAGCAGAAGGTGTGGTCTAGATTACAGGTGGATCTTCTCACCTCAAAAGATGTAGGTAAAAAGTGCATCTTCCCACTTTGAATGATTTAAGGAAAAGATCCCTCACAGATGTGCCTGGCTGCTTTGGGTTAGTTAATTCCAGATGTAGTCAAGGTGACAGTCAAGAAGAGCCGTCACACCTGGGTACTGATTTTGGACCAGTGTTCTGCGGAGCCCAGGAAGAGTGTGCTGGAGAATGGGTTCAGATGACACAGCAAACCTGAAGCCTTGACAAGGGCCCCGTGAGAGGCCTACCAGGGCCCCAGGCACACTGAACGGGATCTTGACTTCCTTGTCTTTGTCCCCTTCCACCATCTGTGTCTGAGTGGTACTTACGTCTGTATAATGCAGCATTGTGAGCTGTTTTTAAGTGCACTTAGCACACTGCTGCCTACTCTACTTGGATTATTGATAACATTGTTTGCTACAATATAGACTGCTGGTCTGTCTTAAAATAAAACTTTACAATTTGTTAAAAATATTTAGTCTTTGGCTCTGTGTTCCTTTTTGTGGTAAATTGTTGATGTAATCCAATCCAAAAAAAAGAGTTTATAATTTTTGAAATAAAATGTTAAGAATATACTCAAAAGATGGAGCTTTTAAAACTAAGGATTTTTCTTTTCTTTTTGAGATTATAATATAATTGTATCATTTCCCACTTACTTTTCCTTCCAAACCCTCCTATATATCTCTCCTTGCTCTTGTTCAAATTTATGACCTCTTTTTTTATTAGTTGTTACATGCGTATAAGTATATAGATATGTGTGTAAGATATATAAATTTTAATTATAACTTGCTTAATCTGTGTAATGTTATTTATATGTATGTTTTCAGGGCTTGCCATTTGGTATCTAATAAGCAATAGATGTCCTCTCCCCTGGGAAGACTATTATATTCTAGGCTATTTCTGAAATTTTGTCTTACTGAACTTGTAGATGACTTCTAGGTCAGATTATTGAACCAACATTGACCTAAAACTATTCAGGCTTTATTGTTTACATAATAACTTTCCTCCTCTTACTTGCATGTATATTCTTGTTCTTTATAATTGAGTAATAAGAGTTTTTTCCCCCAAGTTTTGCTAGTGCCCATTTTGCTCAAGTCTTTCCTAAGGTAACAGACACCCACTCCGGAATCTAGGGACCTTGTGGAGATGACATCCCTGCTGGTTCAGAGGAAGACAGGAAACAATAGATAGTGAGTGATAGTCAGATTCTGCCATAGGGTAGAAGCCCCTCCAAGGTCAATAGGACCGCAGAGGAGCTTTGGATTTGAGTCAGGTTGTGTGGAGGCTGGGGAGCTGTAGTTGCCCAGATTTTCAAGTGGGGGTGCTCATGTCATGGCTGAAGACAGCAGTGTCTGCAGCCTCACTTCTGAGGTTTCCTAAGAACCAGAACCCTGGGCTATCGATACATGGTCAGAGCACATGTTATATCTTATTACTTGCTATTGGGGTGCTGGTAGGAGGCTGCATCTACAGCTCTGGAAACAGACTCAGTCAAAAGACAGTGGAGGGAATGGCATTGCTGTGGTGTTGAGTGTGGGGCACGGTGGCAAGGTTTGGGGATGGCTTGCAGCGCATCTTTGGCTGGGCATGCTGAGGTTTTGGGTCTGGCCAGCCCCCATGGTGATGCAGAGGTATTGGCAGATGAGAGCATGACATAGGTCGATGTCCACTACATGGCAGTGTTCAAACAATCATGTGGAGAGCCAAGAATATTTGTGTGTCTATCACCTAACCCTCAGCTGATGTGCTACTACTTCATCCATGCACACATTTAGTTAATAACA